CTGGGCTCTGAAGGTGCCCACAGCCCCATCTCTGGGGCAATGCCCAGGACTGTGGAATGCTGCCACAGCTGGGAGGTGGGAGCAGCTTCCCTGGGGATGTCCCCAAGTGCGTGCCCAGGGCACTGCCACCACCTCACTGGGTCCGTGTCCACGGTGTCCCAAATGCTGGAGGAACCCAGGCAGAGGCACCTTGGCACCATGAGGAGCCACTGCCACCCAGGGGGCAGCCCCGGGACACCAAGCCGGGGATGATCCAACCTGGCGTGACACCGGCCGGGGTGACAACAGCCAAGGGTGGTGACACCTGGGGGTGACCCCAGACTGGGACAGCCTCAGGTTGACCCCAGGCCAGGGCTGACCCTGCACAGGGGTGACCCCAGCCCGGGTGACACGCGGTGACAGACCCTTGTCCCTGCGTTCCGGGGTCTCCCACTCGTGTCCCCCGTTTTGTACTCGGAATAAAGAGAGTTTTGCAGCCAGAGTCCCTGTGCCAATGACTTGGGTCCCCTTGGATGGGGGACTGGGGGGACCAGCTGAATGTTAATAACCCAAAGAGGAATAAATAAAAATCAATAATCTGAATATAAGTACCTTGAAAAAAAATTATCTGAACAGAAATAAACTAAACATAAGTAAAATTAGTATAAATAATCTGAATTAAATAACCAATATAAGGAAGATAGTAGAAAAATAGGAAAAAAAATAAAATGAAAATAAATAACCTGAAATTATCTGAATATAAAATAGATAAATATAAATAACGTTTGAAAATATTAGATTAGAAAGAATCTGAACAAAATAATTTAAATAGAAATGTAACAAAACTAAATAAACTGAAATACTCTAAATAGAAAATAACAAAAAAACCCTATCTTAATTTAAGTAGATTAGTATGAATAATCTGACTGGATAAAATGGGAATTAAATAGTAAAAACCACAAATAAAATGAAATTAAATAATCTTAATAGAAATCAAATGCATGTAAATTATTGGAATATAAATAGCTGCTTTGAAGTCTCCTTAAATAGTCTGAATAGAAAGAAAATAAAACAAAATAATCTGAAATAATATCAATAGAAATAAATTGAGAATAAACAAACTGCATATTAATAAGAGAACCATAATGAATCTCATTAGAAATCAACTGAATTAGATTATGCGGACAGAATTAAAATGAAATAATCTGAGTAGAAATAAATTGAAAATAAATCGTCTGAATATGAACAGTCTACCTAAAACTAATCTATAGAAATAATCTGAATAATCCAATAGAAATAATTGGAAATTATCTGAATTCAGAAAAATTGTCTAAATATAAGTCAAATAAAAATTATCTGATGAAAATAATTTGTATATAAAGAATCTGTATATACATAAATAAAACCAATGTGAATAACAAGTAAAATGGAAACTCTGTGCACACAAATAATGAGAATGTGAACAAGCAGCACTAAACAATCCAAAGGGAAGCGATCTGGAGCCCTGGCTCCATCCCCATGGTGGGGATTGGGAAAATCCACAACTCCACAACCCCATGGAACAAATGGAGCAACCCCCAGAGCCCCGGGACACGGGCAGGGGGTGGCAGGAACCATGTCCCACTGGGAATTGCTGGCCTTTGCAGAATGACACTTTTATTTGTCTGGTTTTGTCAGTTTGTACAAGGTTCCGAGCGCGGGCGACGCGGGATAATATATCCTCTTACATACACACTCTGTTTAGTTTACAAGCAGCCACTTTATAAATTACTTAGAAAACTTTCTGTGAAAAATAACAACAATTGCCCTGGCAGCCCTCCAGTAGTCAGCACGTTCAGCCCTCTGGAAACCCTCGGGGACCCCAAATCCTGCCGGGGAAGGGCTGGGAGGAGCGGGGGAGCCGGGAACGCGCCACTGTCCCTCCAGCCCTGCTCGCTCCTGCCACAGCTGCATTCTATAGATGGATATATCCCTCTTACATGGGTTTTTCTTTATACATGTGACCACAAATATATTATATATATATAAAGAAACATATTTTCTATATATTCTATATATATTCCGTACATTTATCTATGTCAAGAAGTTTTTTTTTATATATTTTCCCTACATTCCGCACATTTTTAAATATATGAAGAAATAGAGAGAAAATATATTTCTTTATATATACTATATATTTCCTTTATATATTTCTTTACAGAGAAATATACTCTTTATATAAAGAAATATATAAATATATGTGAAGAAACATATATAAACATACATATTAAACATATATTAAATATATGTTTAAATCATATAACATTAAATATGTTTCTACATAGAGAAGAAATACATTAAAATATATATAAAGTAATAAATATTCTTTATATATAGTACATATCTCCTTTATATATATACTTCCTTATATATAGAAATATGTAATATATATACATAAGGAAATATATAATTAATTTCCTTTATATATTTCTTTATATATAAATATATAAGCATATATAAAGAAATATGTATTCTTTATATATAGAATATCTATTTATATATAAATATGTACTATATATAAGAAATAGAAAATACATAAATGCATTTAGTCTTAACATTCTTTTATGCATTTTTTAATTACACAGAGAATATTTATCCTTTTGTGTGCATATTTTCTTTATATATAGAATATATATATTATTATATATGTTCTTTATATATATAAATATCACTTAAATATATTTTCCTTATATAGAGATTAAATGTATATAAGGAAAATAAATATATCCCGAAAGAAATTAGATAGATATACATATATATATATACACACACATATTCACATACATAAATACATATGTATATATATGTATTTATGTGTATATATATGTGTATATATATATATATATATATTTGCCCCAGTCAGATGTGACCTCCCTGCTCTCATCCCACAGGGATGAGAAACCTGAGGATGAGGCTGGACCTTCACTCATGCCCAGGATCTCCTCCCCTGGGGCCATTTATTTTAAGGGCAATTCTGGGGTTTTCAGCTCAAGAGGCTCACAAGGCTGCATTGGCACCAGGCACTCCCGGCAATCCCAGCTCCCAGAGAATCTGGGATGGCTCCCCAGGAGTTCCCACTGTTGTGCTCACCAGCTGCCTCCCCAGTGCATCCATGTCCATCCCCAAAGCCCTGTTTGCCCCTCCGGCACAGGGAAAATCCCATTTTCCCCCATGGATGGGGTGATTCACTTGCTCCTGCCCCACTCCCAGGACGCCGAGGCCGATGCTGTTCCCACTCTCCCTGCAGCATCTGGCACTTCCCCCGTTGGAAAAAAATTAAAGGTAACATGAAAAAAAAGTCAAACTTCAAATATCAAATAAAAAATTACCCCAATAAATAAACCATCCCTGGAAAGGGCAGGGGGAGAGGGGACCGAGGAGCAGCTCAGCCAAATCCAGTCATGCCGGGAAAAGACAAAACACTCAGGAAAACTCAATTTTTTGCTATTTCCCCCATTTTTTGTGGCATTTCAGGAAAGGATAAGCCCCAGCCCAGCCCACCTAGGAGGACAGATCCAGCCTTTGTAAACCTAATTATTGCCCTGGGGCTCCTGATTTTGCCTTTCCAGAGGTTTTCTGGTACCTGGAGTTTCTCCAGGTGCCACTGAGGGTGATGATGAGACTGGGGAGGGATTATAAGCTGAGAAGCTGAGTCAGTAACTAGCATCATTAATTAGTCCTATGATGGGTTATGATGGTATAATTACACCTCAAGGGATTTCCTGCTGAGATTAATAGAGCTCCATGTTTTATTGAGTGATGGCCAGTGACACCAGTGGGGACACCAAGGATGGCTCAGCCAACTGCTCCCCTCCTCTCCCACTCAAAAATAATAATACAATAATAATAATAATAATA